TCCCATCATCTTCTCCTTCCCCTCTACTATCTATATACTGAAATTTTTCTTTCTACATGATAGTCTGTTATATAACATTATTAAGACAGCAAGTTTTTCTGCTGCTTAGATTATATTCACAACTTAAAAGTTTTCTTACTATTTGTAAAACTTTCAGGAATCATTTTTTATTCTTAGTTTTTTTTTTAATTAAGTAGAGACACAACCACAAACAGAATAAAAAAAGGTCTTCTATTTCAGTTTCTGCTAAAAATATTTTATTTAATTAATATTAATATTATATTAAAAATCCTACATCTTCATGGTTCCAATAGGGAACTGTTTTACTTCTTTATTCAATTCTAAGTCTAGGACAATAAACTGCTTACTCCCTAATTTTTTTGATAACATTGCTGCTCTTTACATTAGCTTTGTAACCATTTTTCTCTTTACCCCTGCTGTCCTATAGGTAGTTCCTATTTTTACCTTTTTCTTGTATATTTCTTGCTATAACATAGATATACTTTATATGGACAATTTGTTGCTGGACATTCCTCTTTCCTCACCACCTCCTCCTTCACCTCCTTCTCCTCCTACTCCTCCACCCCGCTATTCTATAAATCAAGGGTTACCTGAAGGGAAGGTTTTTTTATGGGATTTTTTAAAAATTAAATAGTACTTCTAATACTTTCAATGCTTGCAGATCTGGAAGGGGTGATGAGGAGGGTTCAGATGATCTTGCTTTTAACATCAACCTAACCATATGTAAGAAAATATCATTTTTAATAATATTTTTAAATCAAATACTTGTGATGAATTTTAAGTAATAATTTTGTAGGTTTTTAAACCATTTCTAACAGTTAGTAAATTTGTTCTTTCTAATTTTCATTGTTTCTATATTGTTTTAAACTGTTTCTGTTAAGTTATTAACTGTTTCTATATTGTTTTAAAATGTTTCTGTTAGGTTATTAACTGTTTCTATATTGTTTTAAACTGTTTCTGTTAGGTTATTAACTGTTTCTATATTGTTTTAAAATGTTTCTGTTAGGTTATTAACTGTTTCTATATTGTTTTAAACTGTTTCTGTTAGGTTATTAACTGTTTCTATATTGTTTTAAAATGTTTCTGTTAGGTTATTAACTGTTTCTATATTGTTTTAAACTGTTTCTGTTAGGTTATTAACTGTTTCTATATTGTTTTAAAATGTTTCTGTTAGGTTATTAACTGTTTCTATATTGTTTTAAACTGTTTCTGTTAGGTTATTAACTGTTTCTATATTGTTTTAAAATGTTTCTGTTAGGTTATTAACTGTTTCTATATTGTTTTAAACTGTTTCTGTTAGGTTATNACAAACACATCTTTTTTCCCTTTTTAATTTACCATCCTTCCCCTATCTCTCTTTTTATCTATTCTCCTGTACTTGTTTTTAACATGTATTTCAAGAGCTTCCTGATTAGGTCCGCTAAACCCGCCGGTCCAGCATCAAATGAGTCTTGCACACTCCGTAACTTCCCCTTTTCTCCTCTCCTTTTATCCCCCTGTCCCTCCATCATGTTCTAGCCTCTTTTTCTCTTTCGCTTCATACATGACACACGTAGTAATTTTAGTTGTTTTGGTTTGATTCGTTTTTCGTTCTTAGTCAAAATGTTTTCCAACTTTTTTAACATTTGCTTTACTGACACTATTCCAAACAGAAATTTATGCAAGATAAACGAAACCCAAAACCATTCTAAAACGAACCTTTCAAACGATCGTTTATGAATTTTTTTTTTTGGGAAAAAATATCGTAAAAATTAAACAGACAAACTCTCTGTCAATAGAATAATTTTTTAGTCCAGGTACAGTTTGAAGTGTTGCCATACCTTGTACTTTGGGTTCTTTCTTCTTTGTCAATTCCTTTTTAATCTTTTTTCCGTCCTTTTTTCTTGTTCTATCTGATTTTTCTATTAAAAGTTTAAGATAATAAGGCGAATTAGATTTGCAGGAATGTATGGGGTGGAAATGGTTTTTTTTATCCGGGGGAAAATTTGGACGTTAAAGAGTCTCATTTATAATATTCAAGAAAATATACACCCCTGATTTGACTTGTTAAGGATATTATTGGATCCCTGGATATGAGTTGTGATGTCCTGAAGCTGGAAATAATTCAACAAAAAATAGTTTTCAGCACTGAAAATATTTTTGGGGACTCGGATATTTCGGTAATATATGTATTTGGTTTTGAAAACCTTATACTTTAAATTAAAGAGACTGTAATCGTAATGTTTAAGTGACCCTCTATGCAAAGATAGCACTGCCCACAGTCTACACAGACTGCTCATACACTCTACCTGGATAGGCTGAGTAGGCCTATAGTGTCCCGGCACGCCATGCTACGGTTCCATGTAATGTTTTTTGACTGACATCTTACGGCCACTTGTTGCATTCAGGGGTTACAACTTTTAAAGAAATACTCCAATTTTAAACATAAAACATAACGTTTATGAATATTGTTTTTTTTTAAAGATTTTGCATTTCCTATTCAGAGGATCCTTAAATATCCCTGAATACAGATGTCTCCCGATTGGTCGTGTACCATATTATAGGTGTTAAAAAACATGTGGAAAAAAACCCCGTCTTCCTGACTCGAGATGTCATTATTTCTGTGAATTTCCGTTAATTCTTTTAGCAATTAAAATGAGCATGTCACTTTGGCAGAAAAACCCCGAATGAAAAAATAATTTCTACATGATTAGACAAAGCTTTTAAGGGTTCCGTTGTTAATCATTTATGAATGGAGCATGGGTCATTTGACATTACTCTCATAGTCCCTTTCAACATTTTTCAAACAAAAATCTTTGTAAGTTAAAATTCAGCGAAAAACACCTGATGGCAAATAAGCATTGGACAACTAAATCTTACATTTTACGCTTAAAAAGTAAAAATCAGTGTTTCGGATCCATATCATTTTGATTCGGATCCGGATCCGAGATAACTTTTGATTTTGTGAATCGGATTTTCCCTATTAAATGTTATGCAAGGTTATAATTTATAAACTATAGTAATCCTAAAGTTAAAAATGTCGTCATTACTATTATATAAATGTAAACATTAAATTATTAAAGATAATTTTGAAAAATTTTCGTCATGTAAATAATACATTTACGAACCATTTTGATTTATTTATTCCATGGTTTTGGTTAATTTTTGGCGCTACCCGGATCCATATCAACGTTTCCTGATACGGATCCGGATCCGGATCCGACCAAATGATACGGATCCTACCGGATCCGGATCTAGATCCGAAACACTGGTAAAAATTATAGAACTTTTTAAATTGTGACGGGGAAAATTAAATATATTTTTGATTTGATGTCAATATCTGATTAAATATTAGATATCACTATTACTGATTATTTCATTTGCGGGTTCCTCGGCGGAAGTGACTTTCACATTTTTAATCAGATTAATTTTAAGGGCACTGCTGTAAATCGGGCATTGTCATCTTTGCCTGGAGGTTCACTGGAAATTACGCTTACAGTCCCTCTTAATTAATAAATGTCTGTACTAAAGTTCATTATGCTATTTTTTCTAATTTTAAGACAAAATATATATTAAACTTTGTTTAGATTAAAAGTTGTTCGAAGATGATTGAAAACTATCATGTTCTTGCTCCGATCTCAGCTAAATATAGACTCAGGTTAAAAGCTAAATATAGACTCAGATTAAATTCAAATTATTTTATGTCTATTACTTTCCTCATACCCTTGATCCTTATATTTTTGAACCTAATGTCGTAGGCCTTTCAAACTGAAATCTGCAAGATATTGGCAATATTTTTAAATTTCAGAGGTGAACTCACTGTACTGTTTACACCATTTGGTTGCAAAGATATACGGAATAATGTTTGTTTACGTGATTCCTTTTATTTTGTAAATCTATGTGTTTATAACTCAAGGAGGGTATTAACCAAAGGCGCATTCAGAACGGGGGGGGGGGGGCTATGGGGGTTCAGCCGCCATCCCCTTGGGTTAATTAAATCTATTATTTTCAAGAGGTTTTTGGGCCATACTGGGTGCTAAGCCCCCCCCCCCTTTCATTGAAAAAGTCCTGAATATGTCCCTGATTATAGGGTTTGTATTAGTAGGATTTAGGAAACGGGTGCATGATAAATAAACTAGTTAGTAAATAATCATTTAACAAGCCTGGCACTTCCTATCCTGCACATTACAATGTTAACCTTGGTTAACAATCTTGTTCAGATAAAAACTTTCTTAAAACTACTTACTAGCGGTCCTTTGACGTCATAGAAACCCTTATTCCACCTAACCTTTTAATCTTTCTAATATGTCGTAAATAACCCTAAACATAATTGTTTTGTTAAAATTTTAGTTTGGTTAAGCATGGGCTGAAATCTCTATCATTCTCTGTGAAGGAAACCCAACTTGCCATAGTATAAAAGCTTTCATTCCCTCCTCCTCCTCTTCAAAATGAAGGTCACGTTGGGTATAAAAGTGGACTCCTATGTATCCCCCCCTCCTGGCATCCTATATATCCTCCCTGGTATCCTTGGTATAAAATGAAGTATTGTTGGGTCTAGGTGAGTGTAAGAGTGGACTCCAGGGATATCCTATGTATCCAGCATATGGTTCAGACTGATGGAGAAGGCAATGCCTACACAGGTAGATATCTTTATATAATAATTAAAAATCTTCTTTTTTTTGTTGATGCATCCGATCATAATTGTTATACCCCTTGACCGATTTTATTCTAAATTTGATCGGGGAACTTTGGAATGTTCTAAGTTTGGTTTGAATTATTTTTAAAAAATTGATAAAAATCTGGAGGCAAAGCGGTTCCAATCTAGTAGTATTATTAAAGTATGTGACTTGAGAGACTACTGGAAATTCTAATCCATGATCGGAAGATTGAATTGTCTTTTCTGCCTTTAAATATGGTATTCCAGCGCTTACGATCCATTTAATTTCGATGCGGATCCGGATCTGGATCCTGGATCCGCACTGGAAAAAATGGATCCGGATCCAGGTCATTTCTTCAAGATTTACTGATTTTTTTTACAAAAAATAAATTTCAAATTTTTTGTTTTTATTTTTTCAATTGTTTTTTCAAAAGTTCAGAAATGGGGTTTTGGAGTAAAAAAGTTTTTTTTTTTGAAGTTTTTGGTTAATATTTTACCCTTTGGATCCGGATCCGTGGATCTGAATATTTTTGAGTATCCGGATCCAGGAAGTCATAAACTTGCGGATCCAACGGATCCAAATCCGGATCCTAAGCACTGGTATTCAGAAAATATTAATTGATTTTGGCAATGCACATTAAGTATAAAGCAGGAAAACAATTCCGTTGTTTCTGATGTCCTCATCCTTATCGGCTATTTTAAAAAATAAGAAATTTATGTAATTCGTTATAATTTCCTGAATTCAGGAGGGTGATTATTTTGGTGCTAATCCCAGGCAATAAGAATAAAGGGAAGGGAAATGGCGTTGGTCTGGCCAGTTGGGTATTACACACGCACACTTCTTTGGTACAGACACAAAACATGACTACAGTCAAGGAAATTGCAGAACAAAGTCGTCAATTATAATTAATCTTGAATAACGAGTAGTTTATTGTAAACTTTAATCAAATTATATTCTTTGCATGAAAATTTGGCTTATAGTGTTGACTTAAATATATAAATAATATATTACATTATATTAAACTTATATTTAAGTAAACAATTAACAATAAACAAATGTACTCTCCTAGACTGTACAAATACCGAGATTCTTTTGTACTCTCTTTTGGTACACACACGTTTCCGGCCCCCTGGCTAATCTGATTTGGTCGCCAGTCGGCACCGCCACTCATTTTTATGAGAGAAAATTTTCATAATTAATTCACGAGATTGCAAAGTCAATGAAGAAATGTGTAAAGGAAAATACCAAAAAAAAAAGACTGAACTATTGAATACTGATAAATCTCACTCTAAATTATACTGGGTGACCTTTTAGTAAAAATTTACTGTTTTAATAATGTTCATATTTTGAATAATAAATAATGATTGTATTTTCTTGGCAGAGTTTTACTGTGTGCCGGACAAAGAGGACTAGCCTCTCTGCCTGAACTACATGAGCGACATGAACAGGGAGAAGTTTATCAACAAAACTATTTATTTTGATTTTAGATCTCAAAATTATGTATTTCTATCAATATATATATGTCATTGTTAAAGTGACTGTATACATAATTTCAAGTACCCCTACATTTAAAAAGCACCGTGTCCTATTTACAACGGTACCCTTTAAAGGGAGTGACTGGCAATGTAAGGTAGTTGAACTGAGTATGCAGTGTTGTGGAAAACTTCTTTCGGAGTTATTTGAGACATATTAAACTTTTTAAAGATCTGTAAATCCTGAGTTTGACCGAAAATTTGACGTTCAAAACTCATACTTTGGAGGTGGATATGTTTTCAGAATTAGTTTTTTTTTAATTATTAAATTACGACGACATGAAATGTAAAAAAGTTCTACAATAAACTACAGACGTCATGTATCGGAACAGATTAAAAAAAATAAGAGCAACTAATTACCTATCACAGAAATCATTTCTGTAATATATTCATTTAATATTTATTGTTCAGTGGCATCTGAAATGTATTATTTAGTATCGATCAGCTGATATAGTTTATGTAAACATTCTATTATTTCTACACTAGTATAGCTAGTATAGCTGACCGAACGCCGACTGTCGTAATATTAGTTGAACATATGTTAATAAAAACTGCAGAATACTTAACCAGAGGCCTTCAATCAGAGAAGACTTTCCTGCACTTCCCTTAGTCTATATTAAAGAAAATAATTGTTGTCTGAAAATTGGAAAATCTTGAATGGAATATCCTATAAAAGCTCTGTTTGACTCTTACAAAAGTCAGTTCTTTAAATCCACTTGGATAGTTATCTCCAATAGCTAAATACTCCATTCAAGAACTCCACTGTCGTAAGTACTACTTCTAGTTAATCAATAATTCTAAACTCGGACATTTGTTTCTTAGAAAGTTTATAATTTGCAACCTTTTTCCTGACTATTGTCCCTTTAATATCTCAGCTTTAATGTAGACACTGCATTAGTATTGTTTCTTTTAATATCTAGTATTTATATATGTATTTAAATTATTCTCCAAGTGTGGGAACTCTAATACTTAATAGTATTAATCCTTTTATTACATTCTATTTAATTCTAGCTTATTCATATATGAAACATTTGAGGGAAGATTTCATCAAGAGGATTAAGTTCTTCAGCAGTGATTGAGAATAGATATAACAGATAGGTTAGAGTTTGAGGAAGTATTATTTTTATTGCATTTAACAATTAAGCATGGCGTTTTATTTAAAACCATCAAAAAAAATTTGGCGAGCAAGTGAAAGATGTTTTAGTAAACTCTTTTCAGGACTAAGACATTTTACATTTTGAAACTTTGCAAAAAATTTCTGAATTAAATTTGCCTCAAGGACCAATTCAATTTCCTTCAGATGAAGAAATAGAAGAACCCCCTGATACGGAAACTTCCCCCCTTCTAATATATATACTAAATTATCAGACAACTGTAGCCGAATATTTCTCATGAAACACAAAATAATAACCTCGCTCTCATTCCTTCAACAAGCATTATGCTTTCTAATGAGCATTCAATACCCCCGAGGGAAAATAATCCTAATTCCCATATCAAGAAAACTATTAAATCAAAACAGCATTCACCAATATAAACTCATCAAAGAGCGAAAGCAAATTTTCAACCTCCTCTTAGTGACTCTGATTCAGATTTGGAGTCATCTTTGTCAAAACAAGTTCAATATATGCAGCAGTGAATAATATACTTTTGCTTATATTACTTATTAGCTTGGTAGAACGCAATAATAATCCAAAATTATATTCCTGCAGAATTACAGTCTATACATATAAAACTTTTTCTGTCAACATGCTGTATTGAACCAAGATCAATAGGTTCTAACTTAATTTAGTTTTTGGACGGTCTTGGGGGGGTCTTATTTCAACAGAAAAGATTATTTTGTAAAATCCTTATTAAGTACAGGGATATTTGATTTCTGAAGTAATTTACATGTATTTAAACCCCAGTTTGTATATTTAACCGTGTTACCCTCTTGTAAGTGTGTCTTCTCTCCCCTTTTTCCCCCCCCCCCCATAATAATCATGAAGATATCAATAGATTTTCTCCCCCCCCCCTCTCTCTTTTCTTTTAACTCCTTACTTATGACCAAGACAAGAGGAAGAAAGAATATTTTTGTAAATGAGGTTGGCTGGAAAGTTAGTACTTCAATATTTGATTGGAACTAACTCGTAAAAAGGAGATGAATTTTTATGTTTCTTAAAATGATACTGCTCTCAAGGGAACGAAGTGGGGTAATTACATATTCTCCCTCCATGAGAGAGAACAATTAGTGGTCTTATTGGTCAGCATCTGATTATTGGAACTCATTAACTGGATGGCATCCGTGGGAAACCATCCTTGAATTTGTCACGTTATGATATTCTTTTTTATTATTGTAACGTGGCGAAATTCCCCCCAGTATATAAGGAAACCAGATTCCTGGTTTCTTCAGTCTAGTAATTACTTCCATACAGGAAACATCTCCTCCAGTCAATCGTCATATCATGGGTAAGCTCTTTCATATATATTAGGTCACTTTATAAACTGGAGTAATGTTGTAATTTAAATTCATAAGTACTATATTTTGAACCACAGTGTGATTTGGACTTGTATTTAAAATTGATTAGACTAATTTGGACTTAGAAAATAAATGATTGATTGATTTACATTTTCTTAGCCTAGAGATAATACTTAGAATAAAACCTAAAAATGTCTCCATGCAAGTTAGAAGTTGTACTTAGAAAATAATCATCTCCAATAAAAGGACTTAAACATTGGAGAATATAGTAGCATAACCATAATGAATAAAGTCCCGTGTGGCAATTAACATCAAGGCGACGTTGATAAAGTATAAGTAAATAAAATGTCTTAGATTTAATGAAAGAAAGGGTTATTTTTAACATAGTTTATTTGGTCAAATAGTAGATATCATTTTATCCAGTGGAATCCTTCTCTTCTGAGATCCATCCTGAATAGAGAAGAATTAATATTTAGGAATAGTCATTTGGTAGTAAGATGGTAGTAATATGTAGTAACTAATTAACCAGTATAAGAGTTACTAAACATAAAGTGGTACATCTATAAGGACCAGACCCGGTGCGCTTACTTATTTACATTTTACATATCATGAATACTCTGTGGTTTCATTATATTAGTTTAACATTACATTTTAATGTAAAAAATATAATATATTACTGAATATTTTCTAAACTAACCATATACATATTTTAGAATAAACACCAGCCGATGTGTGGACCTATATCCTGTGGAATAACTGTCATCATACTTATCATCGCTCTCGTCTACTTCAGTGACATCACAACTTTTGCAACAAACCTTGTACGCAACATGGGAAGCTCGCATCGCATATAGAAGAAACCTAATAAACTCTACACTTGAACCATATTTTTTACCTTACGGGAGAGGTACCTACAAGATATCTTCTGATTAATAAAACATTGTGCACAATAAGAAAGGGTCAAAAGAAATTAGATTAAGTGGCCAGTACTTAAACTCTACAACAGTGCAATAAATAGAATAAATACAAGAGTGAACAGACATCTAAATTCTGAAGTGCAACTATTAGCATCAGTGAAATAAAGTGCGCAGAATAAAAAAAATACAAGTTACCGTGAACAGAATACTACAAAGCAGCAAAGTTTTACAGTGCAACAGAAATAACTTAATTAAATAAAGCACAGAAAGTGCAAATATACCAAGTGCATAACAACAGAAATAGAGCACAAAGAAGTGCGTCTGCATACATTGCATTAAGTTCAAGTGGACATAGAGACTACTTCAAACATCTCAAGTTACAGTACAACAATACAAAGCTAAAATTATAGCATAAAGAAGTGCAACTAAATATATCACTGCGCACAAAGTTACCGTGAACATAACAACATAACAACAAAAGTCATGGACCAGGGAGATAAAAGGATTATCAAGTGTTTGCTCCAAAATCTAAACAAATCACTGCATCATAGCCAATAAGGTATCCTTGGGAAGCATAAATTTCTTCTTACACAATATAAAATTGAAGAATCATTAGCTATAATGCTGGTTATGTTAGAAACCTATGTTCCAGAGCCTAACATCCCACCTAGTGTGAATCTGCTCACTCCCAGCAAGCCTATCCCAATCTACAGGAATTTCCTTCAATCTGTAGATACCAAGGGGGTGCTTATCACTTGTGGGATGAATCTGTTGTTTACAAGTGGAATACAGTTGGTTAATTTCAAAATAACTAACCTTTCTCCAACTTTCAGATCAACTGTATTACTAAGTCATTTCATAATGCCCTCTGTCAACCCCAGTTTAGGGCTTGCTCCCACTCACCCAGAGTGGAGCAACATGTTCCACCTGGGAAATAACTTCCTGGATCATCTCAACATAGTAATGACTAATTTCAAAACTTGTACAATGGTCATAGAAGTTGATCTGTTTTTTGGCGGTCTCCCCCTACCCACCCTCCACTCATTTGGAATTTTTTAATGAGCATCTGGAAGCTTTATGTGAAAGCATTCCCATGGGGATCTCCTTAATTTTGCAAAAGATGCAAGAGACCAATGGAGTTTATCGTAGAATTGTGATCCTGTGCAGTCACTACCAGAGACTTTATTTCAGGATCAAAACACGACCTTTAATCTGTGTGACAGAGTGAATGCTGCTCTTCGACGCAACTGTGCTGTACATCAGATCATCTTCCTCTGTCCAACATTTCTCACCTACCCTAGCCACAACCAAATTTATCCTTAACCCACCCTGCCATATCAGGCCCTGTATAACCTCAAGTTCAGAAATCCCGCAGTGGTTCAGAGAGGGGTAGTCCTTCTTCAGTTGCTTCAAAACATCCTTAACGAGCTGGAAGACAAATTTAAACCTGATCCTGACAACGTTCTCCAGCAAAGTCAGTAAAATGCTGCTTTTGCTTTTACAAAAAGAAATTGTTGCTGTTTTCTAAGGTATTTTGTACTTCATAACATTTCATCCAACTTATGCACATCTTGCATTATTCAAACAATTTGAAATATCTTAAAGCTGAGATTTGCATTCATGCCAGTTACGATTATAAACTTTCTCGTTATTATTTTTACAATCTAATCCTGTAGATGTTTCATTCATAGCAGACATAGATGCTTTTAATTTGCTCAACAATATTCAATTGCTTGCAAAATTTATACCTTATTTAACACCATTGGATATTTCTACATTTAATGCCTCTGTAAAAACGTACATTGCAGCCTTGCTTCAAGTTTTATCAATTTTATCCCATTTTCTCCAATTTTTATTTACGGAATTGAACAATTTGAATCATTAAAAAAAAACTAATTTTGAAAATGTAGCCACCCCCAAAGTAGGAGTTTTGAATGTTGAATTTGCGCTCAAACTCAGGATTTACATCTTTACATCTTTAAAAAGTTTGATATGTCTAAGATGAATCCAAAAGAAGTTTTCCACAACACTGTATACTTAGTTCAACTACCTTACATAGCTGGTCACTCCCTTAAAACCACCAAATAATGATCAATATATTGACGTTTTTTAATTGATAGACGTTGAACTCGTATTTATTTATTCATCCTTGACCGGTTTAAATGAAATCTTAGTGAATCTGATATTTCATTGAGAAGTTACTTGAAATTACATCTAATGTATATTCCCCTATATTATTGTATGTTTATCTAAATATTTTTTTTTAATGAAATTATGAAGGTTTGTAGATTTAAACTAAATCGTTTGAATTAAGTCTAAAACTCGTTAAAAAATTTCCTTTAAAACAAAAAATATATTAAGAAAAGGAAAAAAAGCCTAAAACAACCAATTGTATCTCCGCAGTCGTTGTCACATAATCAGATCTTACGTAACATTCTGAACTTTCTTTTATAAACTCTTTTAAAGGGACTGATGTTGTAATTTCAATTGTTCCTTCATTTGAAAAAGGGCATAACCAATTCAGAATGGAACCCTTTAAGACTCTTTTCTGATCAATGATGTGAAAGGTGTATTGTCATTATTTTGGCCTGAAAAGTTTATAATTCTGACAATTTCCTGCAATGTTTCTCAAGCAGAAAACCGAAATTTATTGTATAGAGAAACCATGATAAAAATAATCAATTTTGTAAAGTGGTGGATATATCATGCATTTTAAAAAGGTTTAAAGGTACCATTGGGAATCGGACGTGCCAAATGTTTCTTGAACGTACGTCAACAGATTCGCAGATGAAGAACTTTGACATAAAACTTCAAGATCCACAGACCTGATGTGAAATTCTGAATTTCTCTGTCAAGGTCGGACATGAATTACAAACCCAAAATGAATTTCGTAGGATTTGGAAATTATTTTCATTGTAATATATAAGTGTGTTGTACAAAATTTTGGCAGTAGCAAGACGATTTCAAGATTTATTTTGATGTCGTAAGCATTTTTTTAGAAGTAAAATGATAACAAAATACCCACCAAAATGTGGTCTGCCTTTTTTGGGCTTTCAATATTACCGGAGGTTTATAATTTTGGTTTCATAAAATAAATTGAAATCTGAACGCATTTTCAGTAAAATTTGCAGCACAAAGAAAGGCAGACCGCATTTTTGAAATACCAGGACTAAGAAAGATTTGTGATAGTTGTTTATGAATCAGATATACACATTGACAATCAGGTTGACGGATTAATACCACAAATAATTTCAAAGATCATATACGAAACTCGAAGTCGTTTTTTTACTGTCATGTTCCGTGGGACATTCATAAGATCATTTTTTTATTGTTTTCAATAATTAATAATTATGCTGAAGATTCCAGTCCGAGTCGATTGCAGACTGTGATGTATTTAAAATACCTATGTAAGTATGTAAATTTTGTAAAAAGTTTGTAAATTTTGTAAAAAGTTTGTAAATTTTGTAAAAAGTTTGGAATTTTGTAAAATTAAGTAATACATATAAATACATATATTTGTCTTACTGTTTTCAGATCTTTATTTTTTCTTCTAAAAATCGATATTTTTTCGGGGGGGTTTAAATCGATATTTTTTCCGGTGGGTTTAAAACCTAAAATCAATCAATTTTACATAAACACCCTGTTGTCCACAAATGATAAGACTAAGGACGACCTAAAACTCCGTAAGTATAAAGATTTTGAGGAGTTTTATATTTCTTTAAAAAATCTGCTCAATGATTTGAAAAAGAAAAACAAGTTTATTTTTAAAAAACTATCTTTTAAAATTTTCTCAATTGTAAGGGACTAAAAGTTGAACTTCAAGTAACACCCTGGAAACCTTAATCTGATCAATATTGTGGAAAATACTGCAGTTTTTCAAGGTTAAAAAAGTGTTAAAAGTTACTATTTTTTCCTGCCCTAGAAATGCGCCAATTAGAGAAACCACAACTGAAAAAAAAAACAGATTTTAAAATTATAAAGATTTAAATCAACTTTTTTCTTGACCAGAAAAAGCTTTTAAGGTTACTGTTGTGAATCGGACATTGCCATCTTTGCAAGGAGAGTCACTTGAAATTGCGCTTAAAGTCCCTTTAACTTATCTATATAAACATATCAATATTCAAAATTGTATTTCTTCTATTTTATCTTCTGCGTCTTAAAAATATAGAATTGTAACATAAATCAATGCGATAAAAATCCTCTTTATTTAACAACGCATCAATTACTTCAATAGAAGAACAGAAAACTACGTCAATTGAATATACGAGTAAACAAGAGCAGGGTTTATGTAGAATCATTAACTAAATTGGATGGTTGGATAAATTCTAGGTGTTAAGTGCACGTTAAAAATATTTTTTTTAATTATTTAATAAATTTATTTTTTTTAATAAGGTTTTATTAAAGTCAATAAAAATAGAAAATTTTAAACTAATCTTGACACGTGGATTTAACAGTTTTATCCTTAATAAGCAATCTGTGACTTTCGATCATACAGTTAAACCTTAAACCTGGAAACATATTTTTGAGCATAATTTAATCACTTCTGTAAACTATTCACTTGATACATTCTTTACAGCTCTAGGCACAATAGATTACTGTAGATTAGAAAAAATATTTCTTAATACATTCTGGAAAGGCTGTTTACATGTAGTTAAACCTCTCTTGCTGGAGCATTTACGAATGCATCCTGACAATATCATTATTTATCCTATATGGGGCTCTAGTGTATTCATGCGTAATTCTGAGGAATGTAAAAGGAATATGTTTGGTACAATAGGAAATATCATCAACTGTCCTTTAGTTTTTATCAAGTTTGAAGATAACAGCACTGTCTTTCTATCAGAAATAGAGTTAGGAGCTAAGTTTGGGGTTGAAGTAGATACAGATTCCTACATTTCTTTGAAACAGGTTGTCCGAGTCGGAATTCAAAAGCTGAATTTATCACTCGATAGAATAAACATAGAATCACCATATCAACCTCCACTTATCCGCTTAATAAACTATTCTGTGCAGGGCTGTAATAAATGGGTGAAACTTTTTAAGCGTCTTGAATTTTCAAATAAAAATCTACAGATTAGAGAAAGGAAATGGGAAAACGAGTTAGGAGCACTGCAGGGAATTGATTTTTGGGAAAAAACATATAAACAGACTAGAGATATTTTCTTTGATAATAAATTAAAATGGATGCAATTTCAAATAGTTAGGGGCACTTTAAAAACAAATAAAATTGTCTCAAAATTTATACAAGGTATCAATGCTAACTGTACGTTCTGTGAAAACTATATTGAAAACATTTTACATCTTTTCTGGGAATGCGAAAAAGTTTCGACATTTCTGGTATCCATTTACAATTATTTTGTTACTAGATGGGATTCCATTTCCGCAATACCGAACAGGAAGGACTTCATTTTTGGTATTAAAACAAAGAATATGTACTCACCTGAGAACCTTCTAATCCTTTATGTCAAATATTATATATGGGTTACAAGATGTAGAAAAGTGAATCTTGAAATTAATGGTTTCTTAAACTGGTTTAAATTTGAACTAAAAATCAATCATATGTCCTACTTAAATGATCCTAGATTTACTTATCTTAACGATAACAATTACAGAATGGAACTATTATTAGATCTCTAGATTCGAAATGAAGAATTTTATTTATAGCATTTACTGAATATTCAACATTACTATTTCATTTTGTCATTAACTTTAACTTACTTCAATGGAATGAATGAATATATTATGTATGCTTACATAAATAAACTGTTTTCTAGTTACCAATATTCCAACTATTTAACATATCTAAAATTTACCTTTAATCCAGGATGACGGACCAGAGAACGAGACCAATCTGGAGTCTACCAGATACCAGGAGACCTCCGCCACCCCTCCCCCCTTCATATAGATCCATGCTTTACCCTGCTTATGCTGATAAACTGTCAAGAAATATCCCTGCTGAAGAACAGATGAAGGATATTTCTCTAAGTAGAAAATCAGGAGAACATGCTATGTACTTAAATGCAAAGAGGATATACTATGAATCCATTCGTGCGGCGAATTCATACCTGGAGAAATATTGTGCGATATGCTCTGAATATATCATGCCAGGTGACACTGCTAGCTCTACTGTTTGCCATACTCACAACAGTTCGAAAGATTATAGAATATCAGCACCAGCAGATATGTGGGGGAACTATCACTGTTTTACTTGCAAAAACACTACACATTCGCACAAAATTGGCACAAGATATCCTGTTCTCGTCTCATCATCAATACTGAATAATTGGCAAGGAATGCGATCAATGAATGGCTATCAGGGAGATGATATTCATATAGACTACATTACAATCCCTGGTGCAACAGTAAGAGAACTAGAGCATGCTTTCATGGCTGAATATGGCAATGTACACAGACCTGTAGATGTGCTTCTGGTCGCTGGACTAAATGATATTCTGCGAGGAGCAACAGACACGGAAATCATGGAAGACATAGAACATTTCCGAAGCTCAGTAAGATCGATCTCAGCTAGAACAGGAGATATTTATCAAGGTAGCTTTCCCTCCAAAGATTACTGTGATTAAGAGAGACCATAGAAAAATAGTCTACAATCGAAAAGAACTGATGATTTCTCTCACAACCAAGATTAGAGAATTCAACTGCTCTGATACTCATCCAATTATTCCGACACGTCTTGCACCTTGTTTTCATACATGGGGAATAAGAACGAAGAAATCTTCTCACTTTACAGGACCAAGGATACTAAGGAAGGATGGTTAACACACAGAAGGGGTCAATGGAGAGAGACCAAGCCAAGAGACATGTTGCACTTGGAAGAAAATGCTAGGATCAGGATGGGAAAAACCTGCGTTGGATACTACAAGGCAATATACAGAATAACAGAATGTCGGGCCAGATCCAAAAATGAAGGTTTAAAGCTCAGTCGTGAGAAAAGAATCTAAGGATGTTAAGTAGTGATGTTCTCAGAGTGATTCAGAGTGATTCAGGAAATTATGATACTGAGAGCTCTGATATCATGAATATATAAACTTTTAAACTTAAACACTATAAAATCTTGTTATCCGAATAACCAAACAGTGAATTATAGCCAGCTGGATACTGTTGATTTATAAGCTTGAGACCAACAAGCATTTTTTGAAGTTTCGATATATTTTCTTCTTTTATCCTATTTTGCTATTTTTAATACTTTTGATCGGTTTTCTCTCACTCTATTCGATTCATGGATGAAAAGTCTATATCTGGGTTTTTTTTTTTTTTTTTTTTTTTTCTTTGATTTGTTTTTAATTGTTTTTATTTTTTTCTAAAACAATAAGATGAAAAGTCATTTCCCTTTTTTTCGGTTTTCCAGTACTATAGATTTTTATTTTATGTCCTTTTTGTTGCTTTGTTTTTTTTTCCTCTCTTTTATTCATATAGATGTATAGATGAAAAGTCATTCAGTTGCAACTACGTTTGCAATATATAATACTAAATAATTTTTAAAATACATACTGCAGTTCTGTTCATGTTCACATTTCAATTTAAAGATGAAAAGTCTGCAACTACGCTTGCAAATTATTTTGATCAAATCTTAATTAATGGAGAGCTCTGCGAAAAGCAGCTCGGTACGGCAATAGGTAGAACGAGACGTTTTTCTCTATGATTCTATAAATGAAAAATACTATTGTCGATTTGTTTTGTATTGAATAAAGTTGTTAAGAAGAAGTTAACCTTAAATTTTAAATACATTGAAAGAATTTATGAAATGTCGTCTTTACAATTTTTAATGGTTTTTTCTATTTAACGTAAATCTCAATATTTGCGAAAATAAATAAATAGCCATGAATATGCGGGAACAGTTTTATAGAGTTCCATATAATCATTTGATTAAAAAAACTAAATATCTGCAACATTCCATTATTAGAAAGTAAATTCTTGCGAGATATTTAATATTTACGGGTTAACTGGAGTTTAATCTATTAAACATAAATTTTAAAGATTGTTGAATTAGTCCAATCCAACGTGCTGTGAACCCTATTTTAAAGCTGCACAACTTTAAATCATATTGTTCAATATAAAAAGTTGTCAACATTTTCTAAGCAAACCACAATAAGAGCTGTAGTGTTCTAAAGAGCGCTTTATGAAACACCCTGTAAAGGAATTGAGTCTTTGTATCGAATTCTGATTTTCTAATACCTATATTTTTTCCACCTGATGGTGTAAACCTTTGATATTTCAAACTTAGTTTTTTTTCATCTAATATAATTCATAATTTGAAATATCTAAGGTCTACGGCATTGGGTTACAAAGATATAGAGATTAGAAAATCATAGTTTGTGACAAAGACTCAATTCCTTTATAATATTACTGAGTAAATCTGTAGATAATTTCAACTTTATTTTCATGTCCATAGTTACCAAAAAAAAGAAAATCTTAACAAATTTTGATTGAGCTTCACGCATCATTAAGCTTGAACAAATGACTTCATAGAAACCCCCATCTCCTCAACACCTAGATTTGTCTCCTAACATGAAAATGGTAAAGCTTTGCATCCCTGACGAGAAAAAAAGTAGTTAAAAAGACAATTGTTTCAGATATATTTTACCAAAAATAACGATTGAAGTTAGGGCTGGTAAGTAAAGAGTGTCAGTTTAAACATTTTTGGTTTATAATGTCTTCTTCATTAATTTTCTAAGTTGTTTGATGCCAAAGAATATAATATAATAGATAAATTATATGCCAGTCCTGAGTCATACTAAAGTTAAGTTGATTTTAAAGTAAAATTTATTTGAGTTAAACGAAACGAATTTATTTGAATCAACGAAATAAATTGCAAAAAGTATGTAATATCTAATACAGTATATGGAAGAAGACATTTAAAACTATTCACTAACTGTTATGATTCGTGGGACACCCGGTATTTTCAGCAGAAAAAAAAATAATAAAAATCGCCGTTTTTGTAACCATTATTATTTTTCTTCAAAAACGGCAATTAATTAACGATTTTTGCCTTTCGTTAACAGACTCTCCGTTAATTTTCAAAAACCTTCGTTTAGTTTACAGAACTTTTCCCAGCTCTTGTAATTATCCTTATTTTCTTTTCAGTAAATCCTCTAATCCCCATCTGGCTAGATTAAAATGTAAAATTTTTGCAATTGAAATTGTTTTTAATTAAATATTTAGTCAAATATATATCTATCTATCTACAGGGTGTCCCACATCAAATTAGACCGAGTTAATGGGTCTAAATTACGATTTGGAGGATAAATCAGAAAATTTAAGAAGAATTAATCATTTTGAAAAATTTAATTAAAGCTAATCAAAATTTTTTTTGGCGGTAAATGCTAGATTTTTCGAGTATTACGTGCGTAATTTGGCATTAAAGATTGGAGATAATCTTATATGATGTGGGACGCTCTGTATCTATCTATCTTTCTATCTATCTGTTACTAATCTATATTACTTTAAAACTTTAAATTTTAACCTTTATATCTATATCACTGAATAAACAATTTTATGTAAATTTATGCAGTAGTAGCATAGTCAGAACCAGAAAACAGGATGACGACTTTCAGACTCAGACTTTGAATAGTCCAAAGAACGTGATCACCACGCAAATGTGTAGTGTAAACAGACCCAAAAAGTGATATCTACTAGTAAAACTATTTGCTTTGTAAAAACATGAAATTCACTTGAATAATGCTGTAATGTCGTCTTCCTAATCCACAGTTTTCTGGTTTCTCACTGTAGTATGTTGTACAGAATACATTTATTAAGAGGAAAACAATATTAAGGTTTATAACTCCATCGAGTAAAAGTCCTCCTTATTTTTGATCTTTTATTGTAAAAAATCATTTTTAAAGTGCACAGTTTCTCAAATTTTATTTCATATAAATACTTTTTAAGTAGTTTTAGATCCAAATGTGCTTTTTCTTTTAAAGAATTTATTGAACTTTCTTTTGCTTTGATTCTGACTCATTCGCGCATTTTGCCATTAACTTATTAATTGATATTAATAATAATTTTCATATTCATTAATTCGTGAAAAATTAAAATATTTAGCTACCAGTACAAACGTCGGACCCACAAACGTCGGACGGTACAAACATAAGACTTACAAACGTCGGACAGACAAACGTCGGACAGGTACAAACGTCGGACCAGTACAAACGTCGGACGGGTACATTTATAAGGAAAAACGTCGGAACAAGGAGGAAAAAATATATTTGAATTTTCAGATTGAAATTCTTGTAAATTCGCAATTTTATCTAAAAAAAATTCCCAATTTTTTTTGTTAAAAATTCACAATCTCACACAGTCTGGATACATGGACGAGGAGACTGCTAACTATATTGAGGTCAAGCAGGGGGGACGGCACCTGCTTGATTCAAATCAGTTTGAATACAGGGTTGCAAAGAAGAAACCCAACAAAACCTATTACCAATGCATTCAAAGGAAAAACAATTCTTGTCCTGCAGGAGCAGTTATAAACTTTGAGAATGACAAGATTATCAGTTTCCTCGGAGAGCATTCACATGACAGTGATCTTTTGAAGAAAAGAGTACGTGAAATAGAAAAACAAGTAGTTAAAGAAAGCTCTGGAAATATAGCAATAAGTCCACGAACTGTTCTTGGAAACATGACCAACATGGTAAGCACACTTACCAACGAAGGGGTGAGTGCCATGAGCAAGTCAAATACCTTAGTACAGGCAGTCAAGAGAGCAAGAGTAGAACATTTTGGGCTTAAGGTCCCCAAAAGCTGGAATGATATGTCTGTACCTCAACATCTTGAGACAACAATCCGTGGAGACAGATTTCTAGCAATCAATGAGCATCTTGGAGATGAGAACTCTGAGAGAATCATCATATTTTGCAGCAGTGAGCAACATAACGTTCTTAAGTCGGCAAAATACTGGGTGGCTGATGGTACTTTTGATGTTGTGAAGAAAACCTTGTTCTATCAATTGTTTATTATCACTGCTGTCACAGCTACAGGTATCACTGTACCCTGTTGTTTTGCACTCCTTCCAAACAAGGAGACCTCAAGCTACCAAAGAGTCTTCCAGTATCTTAAAGATGCAAATGTAACCCCACCAGGCAGTTTGAAGACAGATTTTGAGAAGGCAATGATGCAAGGATTCCTGAACTGTTATCCCGACGTGCCTGTAATGGGCTGTGACACCCATTTTAAGAGAGCCATTAGGAGGAAAATGACTTCAACTGAGCTTGGATTAGGAAGTTTGTACCAGAATAATGTAGACTTTCAAACTCTGGTTCGCTATCTTTGGGCTCTTTCTTTAGTTCCAGAAGAGGATATTGTTAGAATCTGGGAAGATGTGATCAGTTCTCGTTCTGACGAACTGAAACCAAGCTTTGAAGACAATTCTGATCAGGTTGATTTATTCTTAGAGTACTTTGAGAAGACATGGATAGGACCACTCAACTGGAGAACAGGAGCCAGGAGGAATCCAATATTCCCCCATGCAGTTTGGAACAAGTATGAGACAATTCTCTCAGATGACCCATTGACCAGTAATGCTGCAGAGGGGTTCAATGCTGCCTTTGCTTTATCTTTGCCCAATAATGCCAGCATTTGGGCTTTGATCCAGCCGTTGAGAACAGAGGAAAACTCCATAGATAGAAAGATGAGAGATGTTCTTCTGGGACCACAGAATAATGTAGCAACAGCCACAACCAGTCGCAACCTAGGAAGAGATCAAAGATGAATAGATTTAAAAAGCCTGGTTTCAAACTCTGAAAAGAAAGTATCCATACAACAGTACATGACTGTCATTGTTGATTATTATAACAACTAGAAAGGAGGAGAGACTTTTTGTAAAGTTACGTAATTTCTTATCAATGCAATTGTTTAAAATTGTTTCCTTATTTATATGCATATAAATATATATATACCCGAGTTCATTAAACTTAGTTAACATTTAGAAGGTCTACAACATCAGGTTGCTAAGATATAGCGATTAAACTGTATGATCTTGTAGAATTCATAATTTGAAATATCTAAGGTCTACAACAGTGGGTTGCAAAGATATAAGGATTAAACTGTATGATCTAGTAGAATTCATAGTTTGAAATTTTTTAAAACAATGGTCCATTCAAAATCTAACAAGTCCGACGTTTTTTTTATAAATGTACCCGTCCGACGTTTGTACTGGTCCGACGTTTGTACCAGTCCGACGTTTGTACTAGTCCGACGTTTGTACTGGTCCGACGTTTGTACTGGTCCGACGTTTGTGCGTCTGACGTTTGTACTGTCCGACGTTTGTGGCGTCCGACGTTTGTGCGTCCGACGTTTGTACTGGTACCAATATTTAGCTACAAAATAATGTTGATTTGGAATTCAAATATAAAATTTCCAATAAATCAATAAGGGTTTAAATAAGAAAAGTGTGTAGGCCCAGGATTTTTTTACATTTACTTTAATATATTAGGAAAAAAGCTCAGGAACTTTATTTAAAGGGACTGTAAGCGTCATTTTAGTGACCCTCCCTGTAAAATAACAATGCCCAATTCACAGCGGTACCCTGCATAGATTTGTCTTGCGCATTGCTTATGCAGGAAAACATTTAGGAATTATCAAAATTGAACACTTTTATACCTAGAAAACGATCTGCCACATTATTGATGAAATAAATGTTCAAGGGTACATTTGTTAATCGGGCATTGCCATCTTTGCATAGAGGGTTACTGGAGGGTTACTGGAGGGTTACTGGAGGGTTACTGGAAATTGAACTTACAGTCCCTTTTGAATATGGTTTCTGAGCTTCCCTAATATGTTAAAGTAAATGTAAGATAAGCGTGTACTCTATTCTGAAATAATGTACACAACTGAGTATGTTACAATATTAATAAGTACATATATCAGTGTATTATATGCTGAAGTAATGAGTACAGAAAACAAAGTGTACTTTATCTTGAAGTAAAGAGTACTACTGAGTACGTTACAATAGTACCAAGTACAGATAGTAAGGTGGATTTCTCAATCAGAAAGAATTCACATCCAGAAAATGTTTCCTAAATAAAATATCATTTTTATCAATAGAATAAGTCAATTATCGTTTTTTAATCTAGAACCATTTCTATACACCATGTTTAGTATCCCAATCAAAATAAATACCATTAAACTATAAGGATTGGGAATTCCAAAATGCGGACTGGAATTAATGTTTGAACAAAATAATATACAGGGTTACCCATAAAAGATGAGACTTCATGAAGTCTGCTGAGACGACTGTAAGGGATTTATTTAGTTCGTTTTCTTGCATTAAGGGTTCCTAGTAGACCTACACTTGTTTATATCTGTGCTTAACCATGTAATAAACCATCAGCATACTCAGTAAAAATGCAGAAACCAAAAATCAAGCTTCATATATTTAGAGTTTTGGGTCGTCTTTACAATATTATCCTTTGTGGGTAACCCTGTATGTTACCTCTTGCTGAATCTCTTGAATAAGGAGAAAATAATCCATTTTAACCTCAGGGGTTTCCTTCTCACATGCTGTCCTCAAGGAAACATTTGATCTCTTAAAATCATTTCAAGTGACCCTCAAAGTGCCACAAACTCAAATTTTCTAATTTCTATATCCTTTCAACCTGATGGTGTAAAGTAAACCTTAAATATTTCCAGCTAAGACTAGTACTCATCTAACTTCATTCCTAATTTTAAATATCAAAGTATATACGACATCGGGTTGTAAATATGAGTTAAAAAATCAGATTTTGTGGCAAAAACTCAATTCCTCTCTAGACCCTTTGAACCTTTTCGTAGATTACCCAAACATTTCAAGTTTAACACCGTTTTTAAAACCTGAAGTAAAGCTTTAAAAACTCATTTTTTATATTATTTTTCGTAGTTTGATTTGTAAAAAAATCTGTACGTGAGCACATTTATAAGACGCGGCATGGCATCATGAAATTTTTTTTAAAAATCCGATTAGGTTCGATTTGACAGAGGATTTCCAACCTTTTACAATCTTTGTAAACTGGTTTTTTTAAATCGTGGTTTCTCTACAAAAGTAACTTGCGCATTTCTACTGCAGGAAAACATATGGGAACTACCACATTAACACTTTTAAACCAGAAAAAAAAAAAAATTTTAGAGTTGAAAACTTTAGAATTGTGGATATCGAGATCAGCGCTTGATACTTTTGGTTAATTTCAAGATTAATTTAATATTAAGTTTGCATCAACAAAATTAAAACTCAACCAATCGAGTTGGCAACAGAACAGCCAATAAGAAAAGCCGGGAAATTTGCGCGCCAAATTGAATGAGTGAACTCTCATTGGTCGGATACAGGAGGGAGAGAAAAAGAGAGCGGTTTAAGAAGGAAACTTAAAGTGCCCACATCGGATATTCAGATTAAACGATCGGTTTCCAATTCTAAGGTTTTAAGCTCAGATCAGATGTAGGGGCGGATACAGGATTTAAGTGAGGGGGGCAAGATTTTTTAGGAACAAAAAAATTAATAATTAGGAACAAAAAATCGTGCCGCAGGCGAAATTTTTTTTTTGACTTAAAAGACTCAAAAAGAGTCAAAATTAATGACTAAAGACTAAAAAACTAGATTTTTAACTTTAAGGAACAAAATTAAAGGATTAGGACAGGGATTTAGGAACAATAAAAAGATTGTTCAGGAATTAGGAACAAAATTAATGGATTAGGACAGGGATTTAGGAACAATAAAAAGATTGTTCAGGAATTAGGAACAAAAATATTGGATTAGGACAGGGATTTAAGTTGGGTCGGACACAATATTAGGAACAGGAACAATAATAGGAACATTAGCAATTTAAAAACAAAAAGAAATTACTAGTTATACTTAAATGCATCAAAATTAGGACCAATATTACAATTTTGATAAATGAGTATTGATTAAGGAACATTACTAGATATGAACAATATTATAACTTAAGTCTAGTTTCTTACAAATTTCTAATTCTAAATTTATCGTTAACAATAACATTTACTTGTTGTCGTTGATTTTTAAATTAAACTGAAGAAAAGAAAGTCAAGATTTCCATTAAATAAAAAAAGCTTGAAATTGAAAAACACATACGATTTATAAAATTGGGAACATTTTTTGCCTCGAAATCTCAAGGAGGGGCTACGCCCCTCCCTGAATCTGTCAGGGGGTGGCGAATGTCCCCCCGCCACCCCCCTTTATCCGCCCCTGATCAGATGAAGTTTCAAGGGCAGCGTTTTAAACTGGGCATTGCCATCTTTGCAACTTATAATTACACTTACAGTTTCTTTCAATACCTTAGAATTGGTGAAATATTCTGAAAGGTGGAATATGCATCTTTGGCTAACAGGACTGTGTACAACAGTGGCAATCCAGTGAAAAAAGTGAGAAAAGTAAACTCAATAACGTCAATGGTAGCAATACCTAATTTCCAGTATTCAATCAGTAAAAATACAATGGCAACCAATGCCAGAGTGTGTACTGAAAAAAGAACAAATAAATAAGGTCCAAACCCCTTTTTAAGTTGGCGAAATGTTTTCAACTGTTTTTGACCGTCGAGCAGTGCATTTCCAGAATTGAATTCCATGTTCTCCATTCTTGATATAAATCCATTGATAACTGTCCCATACAAAACCAACCCAACCAGTGATTTCAATGCAAGAAAACCATAAATTATTACTAACAAAAGATAAAGAGTTGCTCTGTACAAAATTACAAATGCGACCTAAAAAATTCATCGTTTGTTTATTTTGCCTTTGATGATTAAAAATTATGAAAAATCAACAAACACTATTGATCTTTATATTTGTCTTATGTAGCTCACTCCGAACTTTAAAAAAAACGAAAAAATAACTCTTTGATTGTTACAAAGTGGGATTAATCCAATTTAATTTTAAATTTAATTTTATTACCGCTATTGCCACCAATCCCAAACACATCAGGCCGAATATAATCAAAATCAAGGGTTTTCTTGGAGTCAAACCATCGTCATAACATTCTTCAGTATGTTTAATTACATAGCCAAGCAATACACTCATAGTTACGGTGAGAAATTCAAAATTTATGAACACAATTGAATTCAAGATTCTTGTAATACTAGTTTCAACGTGAATCGTATTCCAGGCAAGACCACATGCACATCCTAGGAAAATCAAGGAATAAATAGTTACCAAAACATGGTAGTTGAGCTGAAAAGTGCAGTATTTTTAGGATTCATTTAAAACATGAAAGTAGGGTTTCCAACGCAAGAGGATTTTACTTGTGCGTAATTGCGAGCCCTGAGCCCAAAACTTAAGACAGGGTATCCTTATGAAAACCAGTTTTGGAACCCGGGTTTCACAAATGGGTTTACCCAGTTTTGTAGATATCGATATTTTTGTTTTGAAATATTATTTTATTTAATCCTTTATATCTTACCATTTTTATCAAATCTCTTAAATCAAAATCTACACAAATAATAAGACCCCAAAAAGGAAATTCGGAAGTTTCGTTCAACGATACTCTTTTAAATTTCAGGCTCTGTAATCTACGGGCAATTCCACGCAATTCCGCACAGTTGCACGCAATATCGCGCAACGGAATTCCGATTGGAAACCCTACATATATCACGTTTTCGTTTTTCATTGAATGATAGCAGAATTAGAGCAGAGTGTTTTTTGAAATTCTTCCACCCCGATGAACGGGAAATGTCGTCTTCATTTCTATGGACACTGAAAATCCTCATTACTGTTTATTTTTTGAAATTTTAAAAATGCACAATAAAATTATTGAAAATCCGCGAACTTTTTTCGTTATTGTTTTATACTGTACAAAGAGAAGATGCTCATAGGTAGAGTCACAATAAAAGTTAAAATATATGAGGGTGGGCGTGAAACACTCTAAAGTCTAAAGCCTATTTAAAAGTCCCTGCAATATTATTCTCAAATATTTTAAACACTTTTATTTTTTTCCAACTATGAATTTGATCAATTTTGCCCACCCCTTTATACTAATATGGATTATTTCAAATGAATCTTTCTAGTATAACAACCTTTTTTTAGATTTTTCGACATTTTGACCAACATTACATGGGGACAGTTAAGTAAAATAACAACAGCTGCACTCTGCAAAGTTTTTGTGAAAAAATTGCGCATTTTCATCTCAAAAGACGATTAAATTGAGTGATAGTTTTTCAGGAAATTAAAAACTCTTGTGAACCTTTGGTAATTGAAAATTCTCTTAACTTCCTAGTAAAGTAGTTGTAATTTTATGAATAATTAATCTATTTTCTGTTTTTATTTACCTAGATGTAAAGCACTGATGAGCGCGGCCATGATGTGACCTATCCTGGGGGTTCCAAAGATGAATCCTGAATACTCCAGGCATCTTAGGATCCTTCTCCAGGTTTGGTTTGGTTTGGTAAAGAAACCTTCTTTTAACGTAGAAGTAATTAAAAATGACCTTGAACCTATAGATTGGCATGTCCAATTCACAACGATACAATGACTTATTGTTTTCAAATGTGGTTTTATTTAGAGTGACTTGCAGATTACTGCTTCAGAAACAATAAAGGAAATGGTTAAGATACATATTTTCAATCCAGATAAAGTGGCGATATCTTTCTTATTTTGATCAGATAATGGTTTGAAGGGTGCTGTTGTGAATCGGGCATGCAACTCTATAAGGGAAGGTCACTTGTAATTACAAGTATATGTCCCTTTAACTTGAATATTCCAGGGACCAAGTGTCATTCTTGTGTTGGAACACTAACTGTAGGTTCTCATTAAGATATAAGTGCCACCTTCAGTAAACATTAACCTTTCTCGTAATTTAGATAATAAAAATCCATATTTTAAGGGACTGTACACGGAAATTCAAGTAACCCTCCTTTTGTAGAGCGACAAGATTGGTTCACAACGGTACCGTTTAAAACTTTGTCTGATCATTTTATTTTATGACTGAAAATAGATTTTTTAATTTTAGTTTCTCTGTAGCATTGACTTGCGGGAATAAAAATCTTTTCACAATTCAACAATTTTTCTTTCCTTGTTCAGAGATGAGATTTGAAAAGCTTAAACCCGACTACAGATGAAGGTTCACTTATAAATGATACAGTAGAAATTACATCTCTACACTCCAGTATAGGATCCTTTTTTTAAGTTTGGTTTCATGTCAGAACTTCTGCTTTGTAAAATGGACAGGAAAGGCACATAAGAAAACATATCTTTATTTACAAGCTAGCTTTGAAACCCAGCTTTGCGAGGAGTGGAAGCTAATCTTTCGCTTTTATAGTGAACCCATTCAATCTAAAATGTTAAGACCAATTTCTCAAACTTTTAAATCAAAGATACAGGGTGTCCCAAAAAACATGGGAATTCAGTGACGAATTCGATATCGTCTTTGTTATGAATTAGCATTGTAATACCTAATTTCAAAAGCCATAATATTATTATGTCTGCTAGAGTTTATTTTATGAAAAGGGTAAACGACTGCAAAGATGTGTCTATAATGTCTACGCAAGATGAACAGTGAATACGGACAAGTTTACTCTGTTTGTATACTGTAATTTTCTTGTTTTATTAAGTACAACCGGTTGCAGTCAAAACATAAACAAACAAAATGTAAACATAGCAGACGAAACTCTGACAGATTACAGCTTTCTCAGTAGGTATCACTATACTAAATCAAAGAATTATTTGAAAAGACGATATCGAATTCGTCACTGAATTCCCATGTTTTTTGGGACACCCTGTATTAAAGAGAAACATCTAAAATTTTTGTCATAAAAAAGTGTTTAAAAAGTGTTTATCTCCGAAAAAGTTAAGATAAAAAATAGTCATAGAGTTGTGCACTATAATCAATATTAAAAGAAAGTCATGATTTTGTATGCAAAGTTTTTTTTCTGTAACAGGTAAAAGGGTATTGAGACATTTCGTAGAGAGAATTTTATTTACAATTACAGAACATTTCAAAGATAAGCATTTTTTACGTAAAACAAAAATACTTTTTTTGATTTAACTCATTTATTTAATAATAAGATGAACTAATACCAATTATTTCCAATATAAACATGGAAATTAAGAAACCGCTTTCAAATGGCCTTAAATTTCCAAAATAATAAAATACAGTGAAACCCCTAATAACGAATACATCGAATACATCGTAGTCATCGAATCCTTCAACTATAATTTTTCTTTCTTGTTTTTAAAAGTTCTTATAAAATTGGAACTTTCCATACATGGTCCAATGGGACATAAAACATTTCATTTTTTTAAACTAACATTTTACTACAGTGAAACCCTTAATAACGAATACATCAGAAGAATTTATCAAATGTCGTCTTGACAATTTTTCAATAAGTTTTATACTATATTACGTAAATTTCAGTATTTGCGAAAATAAATAAATAGCCATGAATATGCGGTACAGTTTTAAAGAGTTCCATATAATCATTTTATTAAAAACTAAATATCTGCAACATTCAATTATCAGAAAGTGAAGAATACGACATTTGATGAATTCTTTCCATGCATTCGTTATTACGGGTTTTACTGTAGAATCGACACAAATAATTGCCTAACAAATGTATTTCAACTTCCTTAAATATCATATAATTTACTAACTTTTAATTCACCTGAACATCGCATATCCTTCAATATCTAACTGTATACTTTTCTCTTAAGTCAATCTTTTTAGCGGAATTAAATTTTTAAAAATCATCCCAAGGACAGTAAAAAAACATTAAGCGGAATTTCATTTTACACTATCATAAAAAATATCACTTGTGTAAATACCACATTATAAAAAGATGTTTTTTTTATTTAACTGTTTAGTCGCCACAAATTTTAATTTTCTGTTCCCAAAGGAACTGAGTTTTTGTTTCACACTAACATCTTTATCTTTGCAACCTGATGGTGCAAACCTTTATTATGTCAAACTTAGACTATTTGATCTAACAGAATTATTAGTTTTAAATATCAAAGGTCTATGAAAATGGGTTGCAAAGTTATAGGAATTAGAAATTCAGAGTTTGTGGCAAACACTCAATTCCTTTCTATATCTTTCCAACCTAATGGTGTTAACCAAATTTGATGTTATTTTAACTTCGACTACTATATCTAATGCTGAATTAGTAGTTTTAAATATTAAATGTCTACGAAATGTACATATACACAAATGTCCTTTATTACATAATTCTCGTTTTTATATAACTAATTTTAAAATAATTAAAAATAATTAAAATTTCTTTTAATACGTGTTTAACAACATTAGTCTTTATTGATTTTATTCATGTAATCAAATAAAAAAAGTTCATGTTAATTAATTAGTTTTACCGTAAATAATTAAAATTTTACAAAATTACACAAAGTACAAAGAAAAAGTTTGGAGGATTACCATTGTTTTATTATTACAAATTAATAAAAGATAACGTTTTTATTTAGATACAGGGTCTCCCATAAAGGATGAGACTTTAAAGACTATTGAATCCTGCTACCCAGTTGTTGCAAAATTGAGCCAAATCATTAAAACTTTTATTAAACTTTATTAAACCATTCAAATCTTAATTAAATTAACTGTATAGTAAGAGTAACCTTTCGGACTTATACGTAGTAACCTGCAGGCTCTACAGGAATATACGTAGTAACCTGCAGGCTCTACAGGAATATACGTAGTAACCTGCAGGCTCTACAGGAATATACGTAGTAACCTGCAGGCTCTACAGGAATATACGTAGTAACCTGCAGGCTCTACAGGAATATTTTCAATTGTTGAAGATTTTAAAACTATTTAATGCATAAAAATATTAATGTTTAGAAGTGATAAAAGACAAATATTTACATTCAAATAGTTTCTTTGGACATTATTTATTAATTTTGAGTTAGACATGTAATGCTAGCCGTGCTGAGATCACACTGGTTTGGACATAATAATTTTCAGAATAGTTCACGCTGTGTGTAAATGTACATTTCCGTTTTCTGGAAATTCAGACACTATTTGATTAATAGCTACACAGATTACTCGGGCCTCGATCATCAGTCAAATGTTTAAAAAGTTCTTTTGTCAATCGGGCGTTGCTCTATATTTGCATGGGTCGTCTCATGAAATTACGCTTAATCTTACTATAGAATGGTCCAAATTCAACCTTTATTTATATTTAAAAAAAAACTCCAGGTCGTCATTACAGTCACAATCTTTGTGTGTATCCCTGTAACATCTAACATAATGATATAAATCTTCACTTCTATGAAATCACATAATTCTTCAGTGTTAAAAACTATAATATGATAAAGACTACTGCAGTGATAACTAGAAAATACTTAACTATGAAGACGACTTTTAGAATTTACGTTTAACTTTTAAAAACCCGATGAGCATGAGACACAGCAATTGTTCAGTGTAAACAGACCCATTTCACTAAATTAGTGATTTAATAAATACGTTTAGAAAAACTATTTGCTTTGTAACAACATCAAATACACTTAAGTATTGCTATAATGTCGTCTTCCTATTCCATTGTTTTCTGGTTATTACAATTGATGAAGCTAGACTAGAATACGACTATGATTAAATTGACGAAATATTTTTTTGATTTTATTTTTCCAGTTTTGCCGAAAGGGTTTGGTTCTCCGAGATAATTCCTGCCATTTTATTCTTTATACATAATCATAAATTGATTTTCAAGTTATTCATAAAACTTTTTGCTTTACAACAACTTCAACCACACATATTATTGCATAAAGTCGTCTACCTATTTTACAGTTTTCAGAAGAGAATAGCTTTTAAACGATTATTGGAAAACTAATTTTATTTTTGAAACTGCCTAAAATTAAAGGTTTAATTAAACAAGTTATACATCTGAAAAACTCTGATTAATGTATAATGAATATTCCTACGATGAAGAAAAGGATGATGAAGGTAATATATCCAAAGAGAATTCCTTTTTTTAGGATCCATGTTATATAGTTTATCCGTTTATTTTTCCAGTCAACCTTCTCCTCAGCTTCATTCCAAACACTAGATTTGATATCAATGTTTTTAATTTTTTAAACTGATTAATTTCTATTCAAAAGTAACATGAAAATTTCTTTATAAAAACGTGAATTATCATAATAAAAACTGTTAAACCTAGCAAATCTACAACTTCTGTCACATTGATCAGCTGAAGGTTTAAATGAACTGTTGTTAATCAACATTTCCATCTTTTTTATGGAGGGTTACATATGCTTACAGACCCTTTAAAGGAACTGTATACATGTTTTTAATGACCCACGACTTCTGATTTAAGAAAGTGCAAGTTAAATAACCTAATTCTATTTTAAAAGCAAAAATAATAAAAGATGCAATACAAAATTAGAAAATATCGATATAAAAGAATTTTATAAAAGTTTCGTCTCATGTTTAAAATGATAAACTATTAGTGTGCATTTGTATGGTTCACCTTTTTGCAATGATGAGGGATTTTCTGACAACAACTGGAACTTTTGGACAAACCTTCTAATTAAGAGTAAATACATTTTTATTCTTAAAAATCTTTATTAATAGATAGACAGTTTTAACCTGTGGATCAGATTTTTCGTCAGTTTTTTCACTTAATTTTCTCAGATGATATGCATAAGTTTGTAGTAGAACTTCCAGAAATGGCATTATAACACTAAACAGAAAATTAGAGAATTGAATTTCATATTTGCAATCCTTCCTTTTTCATTCATTTTGAAGATTTTCTCATATCTTAGTTCGGAGATTTTCATGCTTTTTATTGATGAATAGTTAGAAAATAAATGTTAGGAGCGCCAAAGATGTGTAAACTTTAAAACCCTATATCTCTATATTTAGAACAGTTTTATTAAATACAAGCTGAAGGGTCCGGCATTGCCCAATGGAAAATTTTTTTTTATGAATTTTATTTTAGCCTTTAACACCCTACGACAACCCATGAGTGTCCACAAAAAAATTCAGCCCAATCAGTCCAGCCGTTTGGCCGGCTATATACACAACATATTTAAACGAATGACTAGTTTTATTCTATAGATAACTGTCCGCTCTTCAGACACTGTACACTGACTGTGCATACTACTCCATCATTGTTCAGACAAAGGCTGAAAGGGTACTGTTGTGAATCGGACATAGCACTCTTAAAATGGTAAATCCCCTTTAAGCTTGAATCAAATGCTGCAAAGATTTTGACCTGACTATCATCCAGATTTGCATCATGATATAGCTTGTTGTATTTGCATATTGATTTGCTATCTCAACCAACCTGCAATTTTAGAAAGAATTGAAGAAACCCAATTTGTAAAAACTTCTATTACCTAAAGAATCTTACATTGTAGTAATAACCAGCACAATGGTAAGATTGACTCCTAGCGCGGCTTCGAATGCCTCCTCCTCAAAGAACACAGTGAGGTATCCAAGGGTGTTGGCTACTACAGTGGGGAGCATCGTTGTGACAAGGAATCCTGAAAGCTGTCTTCCCATGACAAAGTCAATGATCAGATTGTCTTCCAAAACATACATGTTTGAACTGATACAAGACATTTAAGTGACATTTTTTCAAACATTTAGCCTGGGACATGCCAGTGTTGAACGTTAAAAGTTTACAAGTTTGAATGTTTCCTGGGATAAATTTACATTTTTGGATAAGAGAAAATTTCTGTCAATTTAAGTTTCAATGGTGAGACAGTTGATTAATATTAACTCTTGTTTCATTTCTGAAATATCTTTCCTGTATATAATATACTGATTTACTTCATGAGGGGCTAAATTTGTAAGCTCCTCAGGTCGCAGTCTATTTAAATAAAAAAATTTAAGTATTTTATCTGTAAAATACATTTTTTGGTAAATTACCTTGCTGAAAAGTTCTGACTCCGCGTAAGTGAAAAGGTTATTCTGCAGGTTTGAATATCAAATGGGGACATTGTCATGTCAAAATTGCAGCTGTATGTCAAACTAAAATTTATAATATTCAATAAAACGATATTTTCAAATCCCAAATTCTGTTCAACCAATTCTAAAATTGTTTAGCAAGATGTAGAACCATTAAACCTGGATGTATTCAATGAAAACTTTCTTTAACTAGCGGTTTAAAATTCACCTGTCCGTTCTACTTTGTACAAGTATGTTTGTCTTTCCACTGTAAAGTCTTTCATTGGACACATTTTCTAAATCTGTCGTGGTGTAGTTATAATCTTCATTTTTAACAAGAACATTTTCTCCTTCGTTTTGCTCTCTGTCAAATATGTTTATGTCTTGAAAATATAATTCAGGTCTCCAGATGAATTGAGATTCCTCTTCCGTCAGCAAATTTAGGGATGTTTCCCTGCGTAAATTGAGAAAGTTCAAATCAGAGTCAAACCAAGACAAGAAAGTCCTTATTTTCACTTTGATTGCACTGTCCATTTCATTTATATCCAGGATATCAATAACTGTAGCAGATACATTTATTACTAAACGATTATCATTTGAATTATCTGTGAGAATTAAAAAATTCTGTATTGGGGCCAGATGCTTATTGTAATCAGCTTTCAGACGTAAAATATTGCAGTTTATTTCATCTGATCCATCCCGACAATCTGATTTATGATTACATCGTTGCAGTAGGGATACACAGAAACCATCCGTACAAGTGAACTCCTTTTCAGAACAAGTGGAAAAGCTAACTTGACGAATCCCAATCTCACAACTGTCCTCCCTCAATATCTCCATTGTATTAACACCAAACAGATAGTTTAGATTTCTGGTTTTGATCTCAGCTAATGCATTTTCATTTAATAGTTTAAACACAATCCATGCTTGTTCCACTTTACTGTATTTGATGAAGGTTCCAGTGATGCCAACATAAAATATGTCATTCATGCTCATTACAGGCTTGTAAATGGTATCAAATAAAGTTTCTTCACACAACCCTCTAAATAAACAAAAGTAAATGTATAGCATAAATTCATGCTGTATAAAAGTGTATTTTGAGATTGCAGTGATTTATTGGAAATTGTGTACTTAACAATTTATGCTACCTACCTTAGTGTAATTACTGCATTTCCTGATACTTGTAGAAAAGATGATGCTTTGACAGTATCAAAGCAGGCAAATAAGCATTCATCATAGCAAATATATCTTACAATAGCATCAGTATCTCCAGGGCTTCCTGGACACCAGTTAGTATTCTCCGACAAGAGGGCATTTGTGTAAATGTGAAAGAAAGATTTATTTCCATTTATCTCCTGGTAAGGGCCGAAATAAAAATTTCCATTATAAGCATCAAACGATTGAAGTGCTTCAAATTGCACTTCAATTTTGCCTAGATAGATATCCGCAATTTTACCTTTTCCAAACAGTTCCAGAAGATCTAATGTATCCTCAAAGGTGCGGGGAACCTTTGCTTCCAGGCTCGTAACTACTTTGCAAATATCCACAATTTTCTCCTTTTTAATGCTGATCAGCGCTGGAAACTTTGTCTCAATGTTCCAATCTGAAGCATTCCAGGCGTAGATATCTCCAGAACTCTGGCAGTTGGGAGGATTGTCTAAACTGTAAATATTAAGATTGCTAAATTTTCCTGGAAAATCCCAGGTTCCCAGGCTGAAAGAATATTCAGTTAATGGCTGTGGGTACTTCTTGGTGTATGTGTAGGTAAAGTTAAGCAGAGGGACATGTAGATTGTGAACTCCAGTCACTGTATGTATGTGTTCACAGATGTTAATCCAAAGCGGAGGAACCAGCTGTCCAGCATTCACAAAATTTTGCTCACTGAACAAAAACTTTTTAATTCAACAGCTTAGCATAAATAAAAATTTCAACATTAAACATTAAAAACAAATATTTGGGATTATATTCCAAGAATGCTAAACATTCCTTATTCCAGCAATTTCTTTTTTCTAGATCCTTTTCTATAACTTTTCTTCCTATATTCTGCAATTTCATGATCTTGATTATAATTATTATTATAATTTTAATTACAATTCTAATTTTCTATGAAGCAACAAATTTCTCAGTAATTTTTGAATTGTAATTTTCACTACAATGAACAACCAACATTCGGCCAGTCTATCAATCATATACCACTATTATTCTAAGTGACTGTACTTCTATTGAATAATGAGTGGCACCTGCCCTGCTGGTTTTTTATATATAAAGTTTTTATGAATGTTCCAGTAAGTATTATTGAAATTGATGTACTATGATTGATCAATTGGATTATGGAGAATCAAATAGATTCTAGTACAATAGATGGCAACGTAGAATTTGCACACTCTCAGTACAGCTGTATTCAGACGTTAAAGGTGTTAATTCAGTGTTTATGTCCAACAAAATTATTAATAAGAGTGATAATTTTAGAATTAAGTGCTTATCTTACTGTCAGTGCAATTTTATGTATTCTTTAATTTCTGTTTTCACACTTTTTTATTTAACTGTGACTCTCGATCATAATTTGACCCCCATTACATAATTTTTTTGTTGGCATATACATTTTGAATGAAAAAAATAAAATAAACAAATCTGAAAGTTTAAAGGCTCGAGTTTTAGACGAAAACACGTTTGATTTCAAATAAAAGAAACCGAATGCTTCTCTCTCTGATTAGTTCGGGGTGGGATAATTGAATTTAAATAGAAAGATAGATTCACCTGTCTACCAGAAAATAGAAAGATAGATTCACCTGTCTACCAGAAAATAGAAAGATAGATTCACCTGTCTACCAGAAAATAGAAAAATAGATTCACCTGTCTACCAGAAAATAGAAAGATAGATTCACCTGTCTACCAGAAAATAGAAAGATAGATTCACCTGTCTACCAGAAAAAATTGACATGAGGTTCCATCACAAAATGTCAAGTCAAACCCTGCTGTAAAGTTTCCTGGTCTGTTTATCAAAAATAAATTAAATCTTGTTGTTGCAAAGGTGTAAACTGAATAACACAGATGAAACTCTTCTCCCACTGGGATTGGAATATCCAGGGAAGGCAGTTTCAATTCTAAAATACAGTAGTTTATGTGAAAAAGATAGATTTTTAAATAAAAGAAGGCTAATACCAAATCAGTTTAGAAAAGATTAGATGTTTCTAAATATTTACATAAACACCTAAACAATACTTAAATTTTGGGAGCAAAAATACACTGCGGCATGCTTCTTTTAGTGCTGCCCCTCAGAACATGCCCCCCCCCTCCTCAAAAATGTATTTGTTGCTTCACTCATGTTTATTTCAAAATAGGGATTTTTATAGTGGGGGGGGGGGGCACAATAAAATAAGAACTTGATTTGAGACTGAGTTTGATTTGAAGTAACTTACCCTTCAACTGAGTAATTTCCATTTTTTGAAGAGCAACTTCAATCAGAATGTCTTTGTAATCAAGGACCTATATTTATTTCTATATCAGGATGTCTTTGTAATCAAGGACCTATATTTATTTCTATATCAGGATGTCTTTGAAATTAATAACTTATACAGTTATAAATCTGTATTTCTTAGAATTAGAATGTCTTTGTACTGTAAGGACCAAAATTATATTCTTAAATAATTTTGCAATCAAGAACTGATTTTTATTTTTCAATTCTAAATTCTTTGTAATAAGTCTTGGAGTAAATTGCCCCAACTTAGCTACACTCAGTTTGATAAGTCCGAGGGTTTAAATAATAACTATTATTACTAAGTATAAATTACTTTGTAAATTTAAATTATCGAAAAATGTATATATTGAGGTGACGTGGCAGAATTGTTGCTCCTCTTGCCGCGTCTTCATATCCGGCTCCAGTCTAGATCGTCTTCCGCCACACCAAATAAAAATGGGGATATTGTGTGGTTTTGTCAATGCCTGTATGCGCGCTACGCACGATTATGTCAAAGAAAAATCTAAAAGCAAGGTTTTTTTGCGTGCGCTAGTTATTTTTGAAATTTTCAAATTCATAAAAAAAGTTTTACTTGATTTGTCACAGGTGCCTGATATTTGCAACATAAAAAATGTGTCTATGACATAATAAATTATTTCCGTGCGCCTATATGATTATTTTAAATTTTTGAAAAAAAAATACGCTATGAATCATAATTTGAGATGAAAAAACACTGGATGGATAGCATAATTTGTTGGTCAGCCTGTGCGCCGTGCACTGTTTTTACAAATCAAATTGAAAAAATAACTAATTTTGCGTAACCAATATTTTCTGTCAAAATACCATATTGCTAAAGAATTATAGAAGGAATTGAGTCTATGCCATTAAACCAAAATTTTAAATCCCCATATCACTGCAACCCGATGATGTTAACATTTTAGACTTCAAACTCAGATCAATTGATCACAGAGTATTCATGTCTAAGGTCGATACGACATTGGGTTGCAAAGGTAAAGGAATTAGAAAATCAGTTTGTGTCAAAGACTTAATTTCCTTATTCAACACTTTCAGTTTGCTTAAAAATTAAACAATTTCATTATTTAAATTACCTCAATAAAGATACTTTTTGCCTGAGTAGACAATAGCAAGAGGAGAAACATCAAACTCTTCATTTTTCGAAATTATCTCATCTTTTACAAAAACTATATAAAGCAATATCTTTTCATCTCTATTTTTACAAAACTGTATAAATCAATATCTTTTCATCTCTATTTTTACAAAATCTATATAAATCAATATCTCTTCATCTCTATTTTTACAAAAAACTATATAAATCAATATCTCTTCATCTCTATTTTCACAAAATCTATATAAATCAATATCTCTTCATCTCTATTTTTACAAAAACTATATAAATCAATATCTCTTCATCTCTATGAGCCCAGGGAAGGGTCAGGAGATGTTCTAAATAAAAATGTCCATTCGAAATGAAATCAGTTAGATTATAGAAACTTCTAATTTTATGATGTAAAAAACTATGTTGGCATTAAAAGCTGATTTCAAAAGCTAAAATTACTGAAAAGGGGCGTCGAAGCGTTTTAAAAGCCTGATAATAAAAACATCAATTTTAATGGTTTAACATTTTTAAACTGTAGTTTTGGATGACCATCAATAGAATACCTCACTGTTTCTTAAAGGGAGTGTAATTGTAATTTCAAGTAACTCTTCGCACACAGATTCGATGCTAGATTTACTACCCTTAAAAGCTTTGTCTGATCTAATATGAGTTATATATCAATATTTATAATTCTTAAATTCTGATTATTTTAAATGGTGGTTAATTTACAAAAAAAAATTGCGCATTTCTTTTTCTTGAAAAATTAAACACCTTAAAATGACAATATCTTCCACATTATTGATCTGATATAGGTTTCAAGGATACCTTTATGAATCGGTCATTTCCATCATTGCAGGGAGTGTCTCTTGAAATTACGCGTACAGTCCCTTTAATTTTCCAGGACTGACCTGTCTAATGCTAAAGTTTACAACCACAACTGAAAGTTGAAATAGCATGAAGCTTGTTTTTATTAAAGGGATTGTTCACCGAGATCTAGTGACCATACATTTACTTTAAACATTTTTTAAAAAAGTATGTTTTTTTATTTGTCCCAGTAAAATATCAATGTGTTTTCTTATTATGGAAAATATTTTCTTTATGTAGAAATATCAAAATAATCTTTTCCATGTTACAAAAGTAATCTTTGAGAACTCTTGTGTATATCGAAATCAATTATCGATATTTTGTTAACTTATTCTTGATTCTATAATCTGCATCGTAATAGTAATCCTTTAAAGGGGAGCTCTGGTCAGGAGAGGAATAACTAAATAAAAGATAAATAACGGTATAGTTTTTTACAGATCCTTAAATTAAAAGTGCCACAATGGATATTGAGATTAGGCGATCTGGAAATTCCAACTCAAAAGTTCCCAGCTCGGACAATTGACGCAATAATTGAGAATTGCGTGAACGATCCCTTCGTTGTTACAGAATTAAAAATTAATAATTTAACAAAAACTATTAACTTTCCATTTGTTTAACGAGTTTTTTAGTATTATGGAAAATGTAATATTAAATTGTAGGGCTGATTTGTTCAATGTAACGCCAGTCTTTTACCCACTATAAAATGTTTAATGATATATGTATTGAATAATATGACAAGTAGTTTTGGAGAATATTTAGTCCAAGTACTTTTTTTTAATCTCATACAGTTTCTGTTGTTCTAAGTTTAAGTGACCCTCCATTTTAAGAATGTCCGATTTACAAAGATACCCTAACACTTTTATTTGATAAAAACGTAGAAGATACAGTCGTTTTTCTTGCTTCTTATAAACAAGAAATACGCAAACAAATTTTGCACCGCAAATGAAAATAAACACTTAAAACAAACAAAAAACATTGATTACTTATTCATACTTTATCAGAAAATCTTTTAACGGTATTCACAGTTGAAAATCGGGCATTGCCATCTGTGCATGTAAGGTCACTTGATATTACGCTTACAGTCCCTTTAATCTGATAATAGTGTGGAAGATAACGTCGTTTTTTCTCCAAAGGTCGACCGAAGGCCGTTTACCCGCACTTGAACGATTTTACCGGGAAACTAAAATTTCGCTATTAAAGTCTACACTCCCAACTTAGAATCTGAAAACCAAACTAAGAACAGTCTCATGGGCCTCTCGCGTTCCCCAATTTAATTTTAAGGCAAATTGGTCCATGGGGTTCCGGAGTTATTATCGGACAAGCAAGCAGGTAAAAAGAGATTACACCTTTGTATATATAGATATGTTAATCTTATAATCTCATAATATAATAAATGATACAGGACTTCTATATCGTCTTCGTTCCATGCGAGATTATTTTGTAAACATAATTTTGCAGTTTCAAAGTTACAAATTTAACACCGAGATGTGGTCTAGGAAATTTTTCCAGATTTCAGTTTATTAAAACGCAACAAAACTGTTTTAAAATATCTCCGTCAATTTAAAAGATACAAACCTCACTTAAACCTCATTTTGGAAAGCTCATTAGACTTTCATCTTGTTTTGATGCACTTTATGTCATTTATCATTTATCGGAAATTAAAGACGATATTCAAGTCGTCTTTCAATTCTCATGTTTATTGGGACACCCTGAATAATAGATATATTAATATTATGAAGTATGATTATATTTGGTATTTATTAAAGTCGCAAATAAAGACATACAAAAAGTAAACGAAACACATATTTATAAAATGACTAAAACTAAAAAAAATAAATAAATACATGAACTATGCTGACAGGTCTCTCATCACATAAACTTCTAAAAATAAAATTCATGAGATATTTTACATTTGGACTCATAAAACTCTGGAATAGGAAGACGACTGAAAGATTTTAATTATGCTATGTATATGAAACACAACAATTGTGCAGTGCGGGAAACTCTTGTATCTTGGATATCGATGCTTGATCTCCTCTTATTGTAAATCTGCATATTAATTTTATCTTTTTTTGACATCCAGTAAATTGTAAAAATTTCAACCAAACATTTCCCGAAACCGAACGGCGAAGCAAAAGCCAGGAAATTAGTCATTAGTCAGAACCCAGCAAGTATATCCAAAGAGGTGGATTAAGCAGAAAATCAAAAATGTCCACAGTGGATATCGAGATTAAACAAACGGGAGATTAAGCGTATTCATTATAAGAGTTTTTAACACAGTGTACACAAACCTACTTTCCCGAATTATTTCCCTTAGAACAACATATAGAACAACATCTAATATACATCAGATTACTTAAATATCGTATTCTATTCCACAGATTTATGGATATCACTGTACCTCTGCTAACATTCTATCCACGAGATGGGGCTCCATAAAGAGTGTCAGGTTTAATCCCAGATGCTGAAAAAGAAATTTAGAATTATAAAAGTTTTAAAAAAAGGTTTTCTTTTATTCACTGTACTGTACATTACTGTAATGTACTGCAGAGTGCTGTACTGTTCTGCTTAGTACTCTATTACAGTGTAAAATATTGTAATTTACGCCAGAATATTCTACTGTGATGTGCTGCAGAATACTGTAATGTACTGCAGAGTGCTTTACTGTTTTGCTTATTACTCTATTACAGTGTAAAATATTGTAATTTACGCCAGAATATTCTACTGTGATGTGCTGCAGAATACTGTAATGTGCTGCAGCAGAGTGCTGTACTATTCTGCTTAGTACTTTATTACAGTGTAAAATATTGTAATGTGCTCCAGAAAATTCTACTGTGATGTGCTGCAGAATACTGTAGAGTAATGCAGTGTCCTGCACTTCATTAAAAAGTACTGTACAGCATTGTAAAATCCTACGATGTACTGCAATTTATTGGTATTGTACTGCATAGGTTACCTTGAACTTGACCATATCCAGCCAAATCCTCATAATCATCTAGAATAGGTAAAGCGGGACCGAGGGGAGCAAAACTAGAGGGAGCAGGGGCTCCTCCATTATAACCAGGAGCAGTGTTGGGTCCTCCTGAGGAGGCTGAACCCCCGGAAGAACCTCGAGAGGGGACGGAACCACCGGATGACCCTCTTGAAGGTCCCCTGGAAGGTGCTGCACCCCCTGATGATCCCCTGGAAGGAGCTGCACCCCCTGAAGATCCCCTAGAAGGTGCTGCACCCCCTGATGATCCCCTGGAAGGTGCTGCGCCCCCTGATGATCCCCTGGAAGGTGCTGCGCCCCCTGATGATCCCCTAGAAGGTGCTCCTCCTCCTGTTGATCCCCTGGAAGGTGCTGCACCCCCTGATGATCCCCTGGAAGGTGATGCACCCCCTGATGATCCCCTGGAAGGTGCTGCGCCTCCTGTTGATCCCCTAGAAGGTGCTGGGTCCCCTGAAGGTGCAACAGGATTGCTATTGTATCCAGGGAATGCAAAATCAGAGCCTGAAAAAAGTAAATTATCTTAAAGCTCCTTTTTATCTTTAAGAAACTTGAAAATGATTCTCAAGCCCGTTTTACCCTTCAGTTTCGTTTTTTAACAAAAATCTGAGAAAAAAAAAATAAACACAACACTTCACAAGGTTCTTCCTTATAAGTTTTAAGATAAAAACAAAGTTTAGAATATAGGTTTCAAATATTTTTACTACCTGGACCAGGTTGACCTTCCTGACCTCCCTGGCCTCTTTGTCCACTGCCTCCCTGGTTTCCTTGACCTCCTTGACCCTTTTGTCCAATGCCGCCTTGGCCTCCTTGGCCTCTTTGTTCACTGCCTCCCTGTCCTCCCTGACCTCCTTGACCTCTTTGTCCAGTACCGCCTTGGCCTCCCAGTCCTCCCTGGCTGCCTTGTCCACCAAATCCTCTTTGTCCTTGACCTCCTTGTCCTCCCTGTACTTGTCCCCCTTGACCTCCCTGACCTCCCTGTCCTTCTCCTCCTTTACCTCCTTGTCCTCCTTGACCTCCCTGTCCTCCCTGTCCTTGTCCTCCTTGGCCTCCCTGTCCTTGTCCTGCTTGTCCCTGAGTATTGGCGGGAACAGATTTATAAAGGTCGTCGTTAAGATTATAGAATCCTTCAGCTGTACTGCAGTCAAAATCAAACCACCAGACACAGGTGAATAATTCCTAAATAGAAATTAATTAAAAGAATTGATAAAATAGTTATTCATAAAAATAAATTCATAAAAAAGGATAAAATATAAATTATTACAATTTAACAAGCTTTTAATATATTTTTACCTGATTAAAAATAGTGCCGTTTGGACACAGAAAAGTCCACCTGCGAAAAACATATGAAAAATTCACCAAAAATCAATTGCAGTGTTAAAAAATGTCATGTACACAGAAATTTTGTACAAAAGGTTTATGTCTTGTACACAGAAGTTATTTAGACATTATGCAAATACGTTTTGTAAATAAAAGATATGTAGATACAAAAATTTGTAATTTGTGGTCTTGTACACAGAAGTTACGTACATAATGGTTATGTATAATAAGGAAATGTACAGACAGGATATGTACAAACAATTGTTGTACCTTCTATCTCCAAAACATTGATGCCAGGCTTGACATCTAGCTTCAGTATCTGAGTACATACCATCAGCTCTTCCATCACAGCTAATAATAATAAAAATAATAATAATAANTTCAAGAGCGATAAAAAAGTTTGCCATTCATTCACAAAGATTTTCAAGAGCGATAAAAAAGTTTGCCATTCATTCACAAAGATTTTCAAGAGCGATAAAAAAGTTTGCCATTTATTCACAAAGAAAACCTATTAACCTTATCTTCCGTACTCCCCCTTCGACATTTTTCATGTCAGCATTGATCTCCTTTTACAATCCTACATCAGATCTGCAGAATGTACACATAAATGCCCATATTTTGGATCGTATCTTCTTCAAAGGAGATGATGGGAAAATTGATCAATTTTAATCCATATTCTTCAGTTCCTGGTTGCTTGCATACGGCGAAAAACAAAATTACTTCGCAACATGAAATATATTTCAAAAAACAATAGCGTGCTTATATATATAGTTTAATGATATTGTTCAATTCATTGAACAATTTACAGTTTAAAAGGATTGTTTAATAAATTGAAAGTATTAAAGGGACTGTTCACATTATTGTAAATATACAGTTTAAAGGGATTGTCCAACTATTTCTCAAGATATGCATAACATCTCATCTCACCTTCATAAAAGAGCTTCCCTATTATAATATTTGTAAGGTGTTTTGGTAAAAATATAAAGGGATTAAAATTAGTAGTGATTGAATCCGAATTTAATTCAAATTTAGCCCCTGCTTTCATTTTCCGCGAACACTCTCTTTAAAGAAACTAAATATTAAATAAAGATTTCACAATATCGTTTTTTAGTGTTATTTATATTACAGAAAGGTAGGTATAGGTGGAATCAAGGTTATAATGTAAGGGAAGTTAATTTCAGTTGCGCACATATTGGAACCAGTTCTCTCTGAACGGAATTTGTAAAGAATAGATGCATCAGTGGTCTTTTAATATCCGAGCAGGTTAAAAGCATTAAATTTTGATATTTTTGATAATTCACATAATAATTTCCTATGACCAGAATATTGCATTGTTTTTTTTTGTGAAAGATGGATCCTATGCCAGGCTTCGACATCTTTCTTGTGTTTACATTACCGCCCAGAGACAGTACACTGCTGTAAAAAAGATGCGTACACTTTCCTTGCATTATAACCTTGGCTGTAATGATTGGAGTGATGAGAAGGAAGGGGGAAATTAGGAGGGGGATATATAAAGGGGTTGGGTTGATATAAAACGTATTTAATCAAATTATACAAAAGAATTTTAACAAAGAAAACTTCGTGTTTCCTCCTTTCCTCCATCCTCTATGTAATGTTTTGCACAGGGTTGAGATGATATTAAAAAATTAATGAGTAGATGATTATGTGCATGCGCGGTTCGGGCCGTAATTCGTAAACTGCAAATTTTATGAGCATCCTTTAAAGGGACTGTACGCGTAGTTTTAACTGACTCTCCATTCAAAGATAGAAATGCCCAAATCACAACGATACCCTTAAAAGCTTTGTCTGATTAAGTATAAACTTGATATCATTAGAGGCTTTATATGAGACCATTGAAGATTTAATAAATTTAATTAATGTTAATATTAACATACAAATGTTAATGTTAATTGATATTAACATATAAATAAACATTAATTGTTTAAAGCGAATGTTAATGTTAATGTTAATGTTAATGTTAATGTTAACTTTATATACTGACAACCATAAACTTTGACGAATTGTTTGTAATCAATGTTAAAGTCAATGTTAATGTTAATGTTAATGTTAACTTTAATGTTAATATTAACTTTATATACTGATAACCATAAACTTTAATGAATTGCTTAAAGTTAATGTTAATGATAATGTTAATGTTAATGTTAATGTTAATGTTAATGTTAATGATAATGTTAATGTTAATGTTAATGTTAATGTTAATGTTAATGTTAATGTTAATGTTAACTTAATATACTGACAAGCATAAACTCATAAACTTGATTGAATTGTTTAAACTCAATGTTAATCAGACTTTTTTGCATGGAGGGTCACTTGAAAATACGCTTACAGTCCCTTTAAACGTATTCGCTTACAGTCCCTTTAAACGTATTCGCTTACAGTCCCTTTAAACGTATACGCTTACAGTCCCTTTAAACATATACGCTCACAGTTTCTTTAAACATATACGCTTACAGTCCCTTTAAACATATATGCTTACAGTACCTTTAAACGTATACGATTACAGTCCCTTTAAACGTATACGATTACAGTACCTTAATAAACGTTTACGATTACATTCCCTTTAAACGTATACGCTTACAGTCCCTTTAAACTCATATTAAAAACACGCAACTATTCAATATGTTTAATATCTACGTATGCCTTCACAGACACTGCAATTTTAGCACATGAACTTCAACCCGGCAAAATTAAAGGGACTGTATACGTATATTTCATATGGTCCTCCAGCGGTAGAACAACGTGTAACATTACTCTTTAAACCATTGTCTAAGCGATAACTGTATTGCTGTTCTTGGGTTTCTTTAAGAAAATAGATCATCAATCATTCTTCAACTACCTGAACTACCTGAACTACCTGAACTTCCTGAACTACCTGAACTACCTAAAATACTTGACCTACCTAAACTACCTAATTACTACCGGAAGTTCCTAAACTACTTAAACTACCTGAACTGCCTGAACTGCATAAACTACCTAATTACTGCCTGAACTACCTAAACAAACTGAACTACCTGAACTACATAAACTACTTAAACTATCTGAACTACATAAACTACCTAATTACTACCTGAACTACCTAAACTAACTGAACTGCCAGAACTGCATAAACTACCTAATTACTACCTGAACTACCTGAACTACATAAACTACCTGAACTACCTGAAATACCTGAATTACCTAAAATACTTGACCTACCTAAACTACCTAATTACTACCTGAACTACCTAAACTATCTGAACTACCGGAACTTCCTAAACTACTTAAACTACCTGAACTACCTGAACTACCTGAACTACCTGAACTACCTGAACTACCTGAACTACCTGAACTACTTGAACTACCTGAATTACTTGAACTAGCTGAACTGCCTGAACTACCTGAACTACCTAAACTACCTGAACTACCTTAACTACCTGAACTACCTGAACTTCCTGAACTACCTGAACTACCTGAACTACTTGAACTACCTGAACTACCTAAATTACCTGAACTACCTAAACTACCTGAACTACCTGAACTACCTGAATTACCTAAACTACCTAGAAAATATACCTGAAAGATGTTTCTGGAGCTTGATTAAAGATAGGATAATCAACTTCAGGCTCCCCTAATTAAGACAAAGAAATTGGTCTTTGCCACATTTTAAACTTTCGAATTCTTATATCTTTCATCATTATATACATCTTTAATATTTCAAACATAGAGTATTTGATCTAGGAGAATTCATACAATATTGGGATGCAAAAATATAGGGATTAGTAAACCAAAGTTTGTGGCAAAGACACAATACCTTTCATATGTTTTCATGAGGATTGTTTTTTGTTTAACATGTTATGTAATATGTATATATAAATAATTCTTTTTTTTTGTTAAAATTGTTTATTATCACAATTGTCACTTGTTTGATTGTTTGTTAAAGGGAGTGTTCGCGAAAAATGAAAGGGGGTATAGGCTTAATGCGATAAAAAAGCGCTTTTGATCGCTACTAATCTTACTTCTATCTGTTGCGTCTATAAGGAGAAAATTGTTAAAAACGTAAGATTAGTAGCGATCAAAGAGCTTTTTTATCGCATTAAGCCTATACCCCCTTTCATTTTTCGCGAACACTCCCTTTAATGATTTGTTTGTTTGTTCTTCATTGTATCTGTTTACTACAGATTTTTTTACTGCATCTATTTGCTGACGGTTTGTTTGTTTGTTAATTACTGCATATCTGTTTGTTGTTTGTCTTTGTTGATTACTCAGTTTAGTGTACGTTTGTTTGTTGTACTATATAATTGTTTGATGTATGTACGATTTGTTTGTTTGTTGTTTACTGTATTAGTTTGTTATACGATTTGTTTGTTTATTGTTTAAATATCAGTTTAGTGTACGGCTTGTTTGTTTGTTGTTTACTGTATTAGTTTGGTATACAATTTGTTTGTTAGTTGTTTACTGAATCAGTTTGGTGGAAAGTTTGCTTGTTTATTGTTTACTGAATCAGTTTAGTGTACGGCTTGTTTGTTTGTTTGTTGTTTACTGTATTAGTTTGGTGTACGATTTGTTTGTTAGTTGTTTGCTGTATCAGTTTGGTGTACTGCTTCTTTGTTTGCTGTTTACTGTGTCAGTTTGGTGTAAGGTTTTTTTTTTCTTTTTACCTGGAACGCTATCACGAAGCCAAGCAAGAGGATCAGAATCTCCCCCCAGATTATTTCCCTAAATGTGGATAAATTATTTTGATCTATTTGTAGATAGCTTAAAAATTTTTTAAAAAAGTTTTAAAATACCTTTATCTAAAAAATCATTGATCATAATTTTTTTCGAAAAATTCATTTATTGCATCTGTTGCTGAAATGTTCGAAAAATATTAACAAAACTTGCATAAAATCCGGCTTTGATCTTTCATCCTACTTTTAAACTTATGTGGTCCAAACATTGAGGAATTAAAAAAAATACAGAATAACAATAATTATATAACAATAATAAAAATTTTAAAATAGTTCTTTGATTTAACCTAAATTATATAGTTTTGCAGTTACATACCTTGCAATATAAAGTAATACACATACAAAAGTACAAATGTTAAAATTAAAAAATACCAAAAATCTATATTGTATACAGCGTATGTTTTACTGAACCTTGCATTTATTCATATATTCATTTATTTATTTCATTTATTTATTTGCATTGCAAAGGTTCCCATGCATTTAACAGGCAAGATTCAAGGCATTTATGCATTCGCTAAAAATTCAGATTGACATTTTTACATATTGCACTCTTTACAACATGTTTCCGTAGAATATTAACTTCTAGCAGATATGTCAAAACAAATATCCGGCAAAATTTAATTATTTTAATAACAATACTTTGTTCATAAAGAGAGTGTTGGCGAAATATGAACGTTGGTAAAGAAAATGATGGTTTTATGAACTTTGAATAACAGAACATTTTGAACTTTGAATAACAGAACATTTTGAACTTTGAATAACAGAACATTTTGAACTTTGAATAACAGAACATTTTGAACTTTGAATAACAGAACATTTTGAACTTTGAATAACAGAACATTTTGGTTTTTAAAAACCTGTTCAGTTTCTCAATTTTATAATTGTATAAGATCATATCGAAGTCTGTAAAAAGTTAATGAGATTCTAACACATGTTTAGAAAATTCTAACAAATATTTAAAAAATTCTAACAAATGTTTATAAAATTCTAACAAATCTTCATGAAAGTCTAACAAATGTTTGTGAGATTCTAACAAATATGTATTAGATTTTATTAAGAATTATTATAGTACTATCTAAATCATTTTTAAATAACAAATATTTTACTCTAGATTTTTAACAGACCAGATCTATTGTTAGTGGTTTATCACATATTTTAAACCATATTAGCATTCTGTTCAGTTTTCGAACCAAATATTCGTTTTTAATTAATGTTTTTGTTAAGTTTGATATTTCGAAGAAAATTTTTTCTACTACAGTGAGAAACAGAAAACTATGAAATAGATAGACAACACTAAAACATTAATAAAGTTTATTTGGTATTGTTACAAGGCAAATGTTTTACTGGTAACTTATTCTGCAGACTACATAATTATTTCATGTTGATCACATTATTCAAAGTCATAACTTGAGAATATAAGCCATCTTCCTACTCCGCACTTTGTTAGTTCGCGCTGTAGTATTTAGAGACATGGATGGATTGGTCTTGAATTCCTTGAATTTACCTGAGCTAACACTCCATTATCAAACTCAGGAGTTAGACCTGGACTGTTGCTGGGTCGGTTTGGTCGGCTTGGTCTAAACAAATAATTAAATATAGTTTTTTATGAAAAAAAATCTTTGTAAATAAAGGGATTGTAGACATAATTTCAAGCCAGCCGGAAATGCCTGATTCACATTACTATTTGAACAAAAGGACTGAGATATCTTTAGTTTATCTGTAAAAGTGACTTGCTAATATAAGACAACGAAGGAAGCTGATATGAGGGAATTTTTAAAACTGACCAAGAATTCAAGAATTCAAGAATTTTACGATTTCTAAGAATTTTGAGAATTCAATATAAACCATATTTTGACAGTGGACACTGATATCGATCAATCTTTCTTCCCCCGATAAACAAACCATACCTTAGAAACCAAACTATAATAAACAAATAATACCTTAGAAACCAAACTATAATAAACCAATCACACCTTAGAAACCAAACTATGATAAACAAACCATACCTTAGAAACCAAACTATAATAAACAAACCATACTTTAGAAACCAAACTATAATAAACAAACCATACCTTAGAAACCAAACTATAATAAACAAATCACACCTTAGAAACC